CAAGTGATTTACAGATCACTGTCTCTTTTGCCACGATATAGTTTCCCAGGGAATGTAATAGTGTGACAACACTTCTGTCATTTAGACCCCTTTATTAAAGTCCATAACATACCTGCACAGCTTTTCCACTTGCATGTCCTCTGAAAACTCACCAACAGGAGTACAAATTGCAGCCAATGGGTCACCCAAAACATTTGAAGGGAAAAGGCTTGTAGTTTTTCTCCTATAGACTGGTAGAGTTTTTAGCATAGTACTTATGCTATATTTATTAACACTGGGAAGGGGGCTGAAAGTTGGGAAATTGGCTTTTGGGGGATACTGCTATCCAGAACACCACCACCCCTGCCTCTGTTACCAGGTGACACCCAGGTAACCCCACATTTATTCAAAAATATTTTCTGTATGTGGACACACAAGCCACCCACTGAAAAGTCTGTCCTTCAGGCTTGAAGCTACCACTAGAGAAAAGAATTTGGGGACTTCTGTACCGCTAAGAGCAGGGCAAAGATGGTCTGTAGCCAATAAAGAATACTTTTCGCAGTTGTTCAGACCAGCTAACTTGGGAGAGGGTTTAAAAAAAAACCCAGGGATCAGGAAGCATCACTTGTGTCTTTCTTCCTTGTGGCAGAACTTGTGGGGTGGAGTGGGGATGAATCCTTGCCTGAAATCTCTCAGATCTCCATTTCAAGATTTGCTGTGGTCTGAGATCAAGTTGTGACCCGAGGAGGAGGGTCAGTAGCAAGGGAAGGTGTGGGAGATCAGTCTGGTAAGGGGAGAGGTGCCTCCCTCTCAATTCAAATGCATTTTTGTAGAGTATGGGCCCAGGCTGTCCCTTCCAGAGTATGAACTTTTAAAATATCCATGTGTGGAAGTAATCTTTATATAACACGCTAGTTATACTGTGTGGCATAAATAACTCCTGTAAAGCAATAGGAAATAGTACGTATGTCTACCTATAAGAGACTGACTGCTGAATTCATTTAATGGTTTTAATAGAAGAAATGGGATTGCTTGGATTAACGGGGTTTACATGCACAAATATTTACCTAAACAAGCAAACAAACAAATGCATCTGCTTCATGTATGTCATAAGGATGGCAGCTCCCAAACTATAGCTCTTAAATAAAATCATAGGACTTTCAGGTTGTTGTTATAATTATTTTCTCAGTGGAACTGTGACTTTACAAGAAGAACTTCCGGGCCTAATCATAAAGTATTTAAGCTTCTTTAATCTGGGTCTGGGGAGAAGGTTACAGGTGGGGAAATGACATACCATTGATTGGTTTTCTGGTTTCCAAGCCAAGAGACCTTCAAACCTACCTGGCCTTTGTCTGATGGAGGAAACCACCAGCCGGAAGCGGTGGAGTACGGCACTGCTCACGTGGTGCTCTCTCTCACCCAGCAGGATCATGTCCTTGGTCACTTCTGCAGTCCCTAACATCCCACCCCTGTGCAGTGGGGCAATGTGTTCAGTGCCATGCCTGCCCTGTCGTGACATTCAGACACTGGGCTTCCCCAGGAAGAATACTTTCCCTGCACTGCAGGCAGAATCTAAGCTGAGAGCACACTTCCTCTACACACAGTGGTTTAACACTTGGATTGGGGTGGAGTGGGTGGGCATTTAAACATCCATATGTGCTGGGTCGCTGCCTGATGTGCCTGAATACACGTGTCAGTTTGCATGACCATATTCTTTTTCCTGCATTCCAAAATGGGCTAATAGGTTTTTTTTTTTTAAGGGGGGGTGTCAAATGTATTGAAAGTAAAGACTAGTAAAGGTAAATGTAAAGGTTCCCTTGCTTGAAAGCCAGTCGAGTCCGACTCTAGGGTTGCAGTGCTCATCTCCGTTTCAAAGCCGAAGAGCCAGCGCTGTCCGAAGACGTTTCCGTGATCATGTGGCCAGCATGACTAAACACCAAGGCGCATGGAACGCTGTTCCCTTCCCACCGAAGTGGTCCCTATTTATCTACTTGCAATTTCTTGCTTTCGAAATGCTAGGTAGAGGTGTGCAATAGTCCAGCACCTTTAGGTGGCAGTGTCTTCTCAGATTTGCAATGTTAAGGGCTTGCTGTAATCTGACATTCCACAGTCTCACCTGCAGAATTTATGAGGGATCAAAGACCTCCTTGCTGCCATAGCTCGTGAGGAGTTTCTCTCCACCACTAATTATACATACATAGGTAAAGGTTCCCTTTCCGTGGTCATGTGGCCGGCATGACTAAACACCAAGGCGCACGGAACGCTGTTACCTTCCCACCGAAGTGGTACCTATTTATCTACTTGCAATTTCTTGCTTTCGAACTGCTAGGTTGGCAGGAGCTGGAACTAGAGACGGGAGCTCACTCCGTCATGCGGCACCCGGGTCTTGAACCGCTGAACTACTGACCTTCCACAGCCTGCAGTTCAGCGTCTTAACTACTTGAGCCACCACAGCTCCCCTTATACATACACATACATAAAATTTGGAAAACCTCAGAAGGGAGATTTCCCTCACCCAAATTCTGAAGTCCCCACTGTTTCCCCATCTAGTTCACCCATACAGTTACAGGCTGTATCTGCACTATGAGCCGGAGTTGTTTTTATACTGCTTAGTCTGTGTTCCTGCAAAGGATTTCTAGGAAAGGTAGATAGGGGCCACGGTCACACGAGTCAGAAATGGGGGGGGGGAGTGTGGCTGTTTGCCCCGGAGCAAAGTAACGCATGGCAGCCTGATCACATGTCCCGTGGAGGTCCCGTGGGTATGCCGTTAGGTGCCGATCACACGGCTATCCCGCAAAGAAGCGGTGCGGCGCGATCACACTGGCAATCGCTAGGCGCCACTTCCATGGCAAATGGGATTTTTTCCCTCTCACCACAGTGTGCACATGTGCCGGTGGGCATTTGTGCGCATCCTGTGGAGACTTAAAAAAAAAAACATCCGGTTTGCGACGGGACGTGGGCAGGTGCCGGATGCCACGGGATTCCAGCAGAAACGCAATCAGATGCCCACCCTTGCCCCGCGTTTTCCGGAAACTAGTACATCGTATGTGGTAGTTTTTTACTCCGCATCTTCGGCGAGAAGCCACGGGTTAGCCACGGGTGCACTACGCTTCCCAGATGTTGCGGTGTGATCATGCCCGGAAAAATCCGCCTATCATCCGTATCTTTAGCACGGCAAATGCTCCGTGTGAACGGGGCCGAAGATGGGTAACCATGTTGGTCTGTCTGTAGCAGTAGAAAAGAGAAAAGAAAAGAGTCCAGGAGCACCTTAGAAACTAACATGAAGCTATGAAGAAGGGAGCAGTGACTCACAAAAAAAAAACATACCCTACCACAAATGTTGTTAGTCTTCAAGGTGCTACTGGACTCCTACTCTTTTCTACTACTAGGAAAGGTAGTTTGGCCAGGTCCTGAGCTGAACTACAATTTGCAGAGTTCCCTGGGAAGAAAGGATGACTGGTAAACCTGGTTCAGGCCTAAAGGGAGAGCTGCATTATGAACTTCTTGTTTTGTCGCTCTATTTCAGCCCACAATGTTGGATTTTATGTAGAAGGAAGAACTCAAAGCCACGCTGTCCTTCATTCCTGTCACTACAACTCCCTGTTAGACAATCTCAAAGCTCAGTGACTGAAGTACTCAGGAGAGCCCTTTGCTGAAACCAGCAAAAGGGAAATTCTGGAAATTATGACGCCACGAAGAAAGAAGTGTTCAGAGAGGGCTAAGAGGGAAAATTTGTCGGGAACTGAAATATGCAGTGTCTTAATCTTCTTATGAGATGCAGACTTATTTTACAACTTTTAGAACGCAGCATCTATTATTTATTTCTTCATTGACAGAAAGCTGGCATATTTATGGAATGTGAAAGCACGAATTTATTTCATTTACAGCTTGCCTCTGTTGCTTCAGACCAACACAGCTACCCACCTGAGTCTATTAGGATGGCACGGTTAGATACGGAGTTAAACCTAAGATTGTGTGATCATGATACATTAGTGAATACATCAGTAACCATGAACAAAATTCACTTTGTAAAACCTCATATCATGTCATTCAGGGGTTGTTTCGTAGAAAAAGAGCTAGGGGAACTCATTACCATAACTCATTAGCATATGCCACACCCCTGACATCACCGGAAGTGTGTCATAAGGCCACACCCCCTGACATCACCGGAAGTGTGTCATAAGGCCACACACCCCGCCCCCAACAGTCCCGGCCGCCACTGCCGGCCTTGCAGCTCCACTGCCGAGCCCCATGAGGGGCCCGGCGGTGGACCTGCAAGGCCGGCGGGAGTGCAAGGAAGCCCCGCGAAGGCCCTCCCTGGCCCCAGGCAGGCAGGGGTGGGGAGAGGCAGGGAGGAAGCAACTTACCCTCCCTCTTCTCCTGCCTCCTCCTGGCTGAATGAGGGCCGGAAGCGGGGCAGACAGAAGCAGGGGGCGGGGCTTTGTCATGTGCCCCGCCCCCGTACCTCACCCGGGGGAACTGCAATCCCCCGCGATTCCCCCTGAAATGACCTCTGATGTCATTTAAACTATAAATATTCTTTAAACGTGCTACTGTCAAGTTTCTCCGATCAAAATCAACTTCTGAAAGATGATTAGCTGCTATGCATAGCATATATGTATCTGTTTTATCTCCATGGGCTTCAGGGAACAGGTTTGCACAGACTGAAACAAGCTTCTCTGCTCTTTGATAGGTTACTTGTTTCTTGATTTCAGTGTATAGATCTCCAAATATAAACCATTTTGTAAAAAAAAAAAAATGCCTCAGAAGATAGAGTAATTAGAAACAGGTGGGGAGATTCAGAGCTATTACTTATTTGGGGTGAGTGAAGAGCAGCTAAAGTTGAACCAAAATCATTTCACTCACCATTCTGGGTTCTTCCCCATTCAGCCATTGCATTCTCTCCCAAGCTAGCACTAAGAAAGCTTTTGCCAATCTCACTGGGACCCCAATTAGCCTCTGTTCAAATTGTTCACACAT